TTATTGAACTTTGTTTTATTTTACACATCCTAGCTTTCATTTCTAACTTATTTCATAAATCAAAGCTTCCATTTCTTATTAATTTATTAATACATCCTAGAATCCATTTCTAATTTAAAAAAAAAAAAAAAAAAAANTGTAATCAAACAAATCTTTGCCTCCGTTTCTAATGTAATCAAACAAATCTTTGCCTCCGTTTCTAATGTAATCAAACAAATCTTTGCCTCCGTTTCTAATGTAATCAAACAAATCTTTGCCTCCGTTTCTAATGTAATCAAACAAATCTTTGCCTCCGTTTCTAATGTAATCAAACAAATCTTTGCCTCCGTTTCTAATGTAATCAAACAAATCTTTGCCTCCGTTTCTAATGTAATCAAACAAATCTTTGCCTCCGTTTCTAATGTAATCAAACAAATCTTTGCCTCCGTTTCTAATGTAATCAAACAAATCTTTGCCTCCGTTTCTAATGTAATCAAACAAATCTTTGCCTCCGTTTCTAATGTAATCAAACAAATCTTTGCCTCCGTTTCTAATGTAATCAAACAAATCTTTGCCTCCGTTTCTAATGTAATCAAACAAATCTTTGCCTCCGTTTCTAATGTAATCAAACAAATCTTTGCCTCCGTTTCTAATGAATTTAAACAATAATGTAATGGCTATAGCTGAAAGGGAATAAACAACCAATCAAAAAAAATGTTGGTGGATACTTTTTGTGTAAAAAAAAATGACAAAAGTTGATATGGCTAAAAGTACCAAGAGGTAAGTATGACTAGGCTAGGAGTACCAAGAACTTAAGTATTGCTAGGCTAGGAGTAAAAAGAGGTTAAGGATGACTAGGCTAGGAGTACCAAGAGCTTTAGTATAACTAGGCTAGGAGTACCAAGAGCTTTAGTATGGCTAGGCTAGGAGTACCAAGAGGTTAAGTATGACTAGGCTAAGAGTACCAAGAGATCCTCTAGCACGATGACTCTGTCACTCTACAGTAAAGACAAGCCTTTTTCTTGTCTATGGACAACATCTGATTTCGCTTTGCTTACTAAACAGTTTGCAACATTTCATACGACTAAGTTGAACACGACTAATGCTACATTTTTTTTAGTAAAAAACTTGTATTTAATTCAATATTATAAGAATGTGCGCATTTCGTTAAAAATTGCTTTATTTCCAATGTTCAAGAACAATTAAATAAACATGTAGCTATAAAGTTATATAGCTTTCTTGACTTTGAAGGAAAAATAAACACACTTTCTTCTTCTTCTGTTACATATTAAGGGCCCACAATCTATTTATTGATAATTTTGTCTCCTAAGCATGTAGAGGGGATTTGCAATATTTCTGTGCCTGGTGTAGATGAGGATTGATTGATTTCACTCTTACTTTGTGAGGGAATCATACACGGAGGGGTTGGAAGGCTTGATGCAATAGACGCAAATGAGTCTAGTGTTGTCGCCTCAACTGTTCCCTTTGAAACTCTTCGAGTGTTCCAGTCCCTGATTGTCTTGGGCAGGAATGAGCAGTTACTATATTGGCTTCTCGCTGGTATGAGCCGGAATTGCCTGCCATGGCCTCGCCGCTGTCTATGGGAGAGAGGGACGAGTTTCTGTTTAATACTGGAACAGTGGACCAGCAAATTATTTATTTTGTGCATCATGGAGAGCCTGGTTAGTCGTCGTCGTTCCTCCAATGGTGACCCGCCTAGTGTTTCCAGCATGCTGCTAACACTGGAGGTATTCCTGAAAGGGTTCAGGACAAAGTGTGCTGCCCGTCGCTGGAACGCCTCCAACCTGTCAATGCTCTTCCGAGTACATGGGTCCCAGATTGAAGATGCATAATATTTCCTCTCACTACCCCAAAACCATTAACCCTCTTCAGACGAAGTCTTTTTGTGCCACACTTTTTCACATATAGCTCTTCACTTACTTTGCAAACATAAAGCTAAATATATTCTTATGGGGAATAGATCTTTATGAATCTAACTTCAAATGTTTGCATAATTTGTGCATGCGATTTTGTTTTTTTCTTACATTTTATGATTTTTGACACTTAAATATCTCCTAACCCATATCTGAATGCGATTAAATGTGAACAAATGCATAAATTATTCCTCTAAGGCTGCAGATGCCTTTTCCATATTGAAAGGCCACATTTTAAAAAGCCTTTAAATGTAGAACTAGTTTTTTTTTAAAAATGATATAAAATGACAGATCACCGTAAAAGATCAATGCAAGCCACTATTATAATGGCAAGACGAGGACACAAAAATTGGAGAAGCAATTTGATTGGCTGGTAAAAGACCAGCCAGCCAACCTCTAGGCTTTTATTATTGGAAGTTTTTATTGTTCATTGTTAGTTTTAAAAAAAAACAACATCTAGGTAATAAACTCACAACAAAATCCCCAGTTTTTCCTTGAACAAATTTGTTTGGTACTACGTGAAAGGGGCGCCAAAATTAAGCTTGCCCGGGAGGCTGGTAACCGTAAGGCCGGCCCTAGATAGGCCTATGGATTGCGTGAGAACTTGACATTCCAGCTTTGCATAAGCTGTCACGGCTTCCACACACACTCAACTATTGCATCATGGCCTCCTTACACAATCAAATATAGCATCATGGCCTCCTCATACAATCAAATATAGCATCATTGCTTCTTCACACAATCAAACATTGCATCATGGCCTCCTCACACAATCAAATATTGCATCATGGCCTCCTCACACAATCAAATATTGCATCATGGCTTCCTCAATCAATCGAATGTTGCAACATGGCGTCTTCACACAATCAAATATTGAATCATGGCGTATTCGCACAATCAAATTTTGCATCCTGGCCTCCTCACAAAATCAAATATTGCATCATGGCCTCCTCACACAATTAAATATTGCCTCATTGCTTCCTCAATTAATTAAATATTGCATCATAGCTTCCTCAATCAATCAAAGATTGCATCATGGCCTCTCGCACAATCAAATATTGCACCATTGCGTCTTCACACAATCAAATATTGCATCATGGTTCCCTCAATCAATCAAATATTGCATCATGGCCTCCTCACACAATCAAATATTGCACCATTGCGTCTTCACACAATCAAATATTGCATCATGGCCTCCTCACACAATCAAAAAATGCTCCATGGCGACTTCACACAATCAAATATTGCATCATGGCTTCCTCAATCAATCAAAGATTGCACCATGGCCTCTCGCACAATCAAATATTGCACCATTGCGTCTTCACACAATCAAATATTGCATAATGGCTTCCTAAATCAATCAATAATTGCGACATGGCCACCTCACACAATCAAATATTGCATCATGGCCTCCTCACACAATCAAATATTCCACAATGGCGTCTTCACACAATCAAATATTGCATCATGGCCTCCTCAATCAATCAAATATAGCATCATTGCCTCTTCACACAATCAAACATTGCATCATGGCCTCCTCACACAATCAAATATTGCATCATGGCCTCCTCACACAATCAAATATTGCAGCATGGCATCTTCACACAATCAAATATTGCATCATGGCTTCCTCAATCAATCAAAGATTGCATCATGGCCTCTCACACAATCAAATATTGTACCATTGCGTCTTCACACAATCAAATATTGCATAATGGCTTCCTAAATCAATCAATAATTGCGACATGGCCACCTCACACAATCAAATATTGAACCATGGCGTCCTCAAACAACCAAATATTGCATCATGACGTCCTCACACAATCAAAAATTGCACCATAGCGTCTTCCCACAATCAAATATTGCATCATGGCGTCTTCACACAATCAAATATTGCACCATGGCGTCCTCACACAATCAAATATTGCACCATGGCGTCATCACACAATCAAATATTCCATAATGGCGTCCTCAATCAATCAAATCTCCTATAACATTTTTTTGTTGTTGTTAGTTTGAAAGTTTCATGTGGCTTGTTGTTCAAATGTTGACCTTATCAAAATAATGTGAAACCAATACCCAGGTAGGGTGATTTCCTTACCTATCGATCCACAACACCTGTTTTATTAAGAGTAAGAAATCGTTGAGCTGATGCATGTGCGCTCACATGTTTTCCACGTACATCATGGGTGCTCAAACGTTTAGTTCCGTGGGCCAAATTTTGGTTTTTGTACATGCCCAGAGGGCACCAGTGATCCAACAGTGACCTCCTTCCTCCGCTCCTCCAGCCTACGTCACAATAGCACCACTGGGGTGGTCACCGGTCATCATGTCGTGAATCAAACGTTCGAAATTAGAATTTAGCATTTGAACATTTTTACACGAAGTTATCTTCTTAGAACTAATCTTTTTAAGATTAGGTTTAAATTAACTTTATGGTTGTGCAGAGATTTAAAACGGCTTTAGGAGACAAACTTAAATGAGAAATGAATTTAATTTTTACTAACTGCCAGTGTGAGAAATGAAAATAATTTTATTAACTGTCAGGGTGAGAAATGAAACTAAATTGATTTATTGACAGGGTGAGGCGAGAATCTAACTTTTACTTCTCAATAATCGCCCTGTACTCTGGCGTTGAGTTTCCCCAAATATTTGTCTGTGATCATGATTTGATTCCAAAATTGTCAACAGTTTAATTCCCTGTGCCCAGACAGTTGAGTATTGTCGTTTTAAATTTAACAGAACACTTCTACGTCTGGGTTACGAAACTTCATTTCCTGATGTTCGTTTCCCTGGATGTCAGGTGTTTAGGTTTTCAAACAGATTGATTTATGAACACGTTGATTTGTGAACACGTTGATTTGTGAACTTGCTGAATTATAAAAACGTTGATTTATGAACTCTTTAATGTATCAAATGTTTTAATTTATGAACACGCTGATTTAAGAACACGTTGATTAATGAACACGTTGATTAATGAACATGTTGATTTATGAACACGCTGATTTATCAACACGTTGATTTATGAACACGTTGATTTATGAACGCATTGATTTATGAACACATTGATTTATGAACACGTTGATTTATGAACACGTTGATTTGTGAACACATTGATTTATGAACATTTTGATTTATGAACAGTTTGATTTATGAACACGTTGATTTGTGAACACATTGATTTATGAACACATTGATTTATGAACACGTTGATTTATGAACACGTTGATTTGTGAACACATTGATTTATGAACATTTTGATTTATGAACAGTTTGAGTTGTTAACAGTTCGAATAATGACCACGTTGATTTATGAACATGTTGATTTATAAACAGTTTGATTTATAAGCACTTCAGCTCACATGACATTAACCTCCAGGAGTATTATGTATTGATGTTTAGTAGATATGGGAATAAATTAATTATTTGTGCATTGCTTTAGCGTACATATGTGTTCGTGTAACTGGTTGAGTATTGGCTATTTGTCTCTATGCTTGTTTGTGTGTGTGTATGCTTGCAGACGTGTGTATCTTTGTGTACTTTGTATGTGTGTGAGTGGGTTTGACTATGTGTGTGTCTTTGTGTGTTTGTTTCAATGTGAGTGTTTGATTATCATGTCTGTGCTTGTGTATATGAGACTTTTGTTTGTGTGTGTGTTTTGTTTAAACGAATCAAAAACATAATTTTTTAAACAAATAATTACAAAACACGAGCGTTCAAATCTAAGAATTGAATAGTGTTTAAGATTTTTAAAAAATAATGATAATATATAAAAACACTACTCCATATATTTCAAGTTTTATTTCCAAGAATAGTGTGTCCATTTGCTGGAGTTCTATGTTTGGACATCTCTTGTGCTAATACGTAGAACATTCACAGCTAAGGAAGAGAAATAAAATACATACACATTTTAGGGTATCTCAATATGGACTATTGAATGAAGCGAAAGCAAGATTGAATTAAGTCAAAAGAGCTGGGAATTTACTCATGAGATTTTTTTTCTCTTCTTCTCCTCTAATTGACGACACCAGATTAATAATACGAGAAAGTAGGACGACGAGGTTCTCAATTTGTAAAAACTGACAATTTATGAAGAACCGTTAAAGGCAGTAGTTCTATAGATTAACGTTTAAAAAATGTGCATAATAGCATAGTCAAGGGTTGAAATTTCATTTTAAGGTTTTACATTTAGGAGATGCCATTTATCAAAACCATAAAATTGACAACCAAGGAAATAGGTGCTAAAAACTGCGTAACAATAAGGGCGTGCACTAATTTCATGCACAATAAATCTATTCCTAACCCTTGTCAACGGATCATTTATTAATGAAAAGAACACTGGCCCCATTACGTGCGATACGACAAGCAATACAAATAAGACTAATTAATTCATCGATTTTTCGTAAGTTTTGAACAGCGTTCGATCATGTCCAAAGACCTCCACGATCTCATTACGAAATATAATCAATTGTGAAATCTTTTTTTTCGTATTTCAGGTAGGAATAAAACGTTGCTAGAGTGATTGGACATATTTAACACAAGAAACTTCTGAACACTTCTTACTTGAACAGTTTCACCTTCAACAAATGCAGTTTTGTAGTAGTGAGCATCGAACCCTCTACGCCAAATCGTAGAGGCGCTGAAATACTTGTTCGGCGTTTGGTTCGTAATAGTTGGTTTTGCGGGTTTCGTATTTAAATATTTTGTTTTCATTATAACTTTTCCGTTCGTCTCTTGTAATGGTTTTTTTTTGTTTTTTTAAATTTCAATTTGTTTTCTCAGCATCTTCTTGAACTGTGTATATGTTCTCCCCCATTTTCATAATTAAGGTTGAGTTAGTGAGAAGGGAGTTTTCGTGTAATTTTTACCACAAAATTTTTTTTTTCTTAGTTAAGAAGTTTAGAAATCAAGACAAAGGACTGCAACTCACCTTTGAGGGAGACAGACTTTAGCGTGGATGCATGTAGCCTCCTTCGTTTCCAAGTCAACACACACCAAGCTGACCGTGACCTTTTCGAGTTTGGCTGGAACACAACGCCCCACGGAGAGGGTGCAGTTATCAGACCCAGCTTCACCTCCCCCGGGCAGGATGCAGCGTTCACATCTACACAATTTTTAAAAAAGAGAGTCACAGTCACGATGGGTTTAAGATAAAGATTGGGGGGGGGGGCGTGTTTTAGGTGGGGTTGTATTTTCTATCAATGCATTTGGGAAATGGGCTAGATTCAAACATTTTTACTTTTACTTGTATTGGCCCAATTTTCTAGAGCTTGTTCTTTAAAACTGAATAAATAGAATTGTCTCAGAAACATTTGATTAAAATCGGGGAAGTCTTACGTGCAGTGCGCATATTTCGGTAGCTTGTACGGCTTGTTGCTCAACTTGCACACCTTTCCCTCGTACAAGAACAGTCCCGGACAATTGATTTTTTCAGAGTGACACTCGTAAAGCTTCGAGCGGCTGCAACACGGCCTGTAAAAAATTATTTTAAAAAATTAAAATAAGCACACATAGTTTTTAGAATCTAATGATAGACCATCACTTCTGGGCGTTTTTTCTACACTTGGCCCATCTAGACATACTAGTGCTATAGGAACTCATGTCTAGCCAGTGGCTACTAGTGCTAGAGGAACTCATATCTCGGCAGTGGCTACTAGTGCTATAGGAACTCATGTCTAGCCAGTGGCTACTAGTGCTAGAGGAACTCATATCTCGGCAGTGGCTACTAGTGCTAGAGGAACTCATGTCCGGGCAGTGGCTACTAGTGGTAGAGGAACTCTTGTCTCGCCAGTGGCTACTAGTGTTAGAGGAACTCAATTCTCGCCAGTGGCTACCAGTGCTAGAGGAACTCATGTCTCGCCAGTGGCTAGTAGTACTAGAGGAACTCATGCCTCGCCAGTGGCTACTAGTGCTAGAGGAAATGCTTCGCCACTGGCTACCAGTGCTAGAGGAACTCATGTTCGGCCAGTGGCTACTAGTGGTAAAGGAACTCATGTCTCGCCAATGGCTACTAGTGCTAGAGGAACTCATTTCTAGCCAGTGGCTACTACAACTAGAGGAACTCATGTCTCGCCAATGGCTACTAGCGCAAAAGGAAATCATGTCACGCCAGTGAACATTGTAATGCCATCCCGTGATCTACATGTCTTTAAATAAGCATATTCTGTTGACGAAGAGATCTGAAATGTGTTTCTGTTTGGTTCAGACTGTAAATGTTGGCCACATCAGGGCAATCAAATAGAGCACATCGTCATGAAACGGCAGAAACAATTGTCGAGTATGGGCGTTCATTAGTAATTGTTGCGACTGAATATTATGTTCATTAGTTGTTGAACGCTCTTCCCGCCATTGTCTCTATGACGTATTTTTATGCTGATTCGTGACGTATTGTCTATGCAGTATTGTGACGTATGTTTTAGTCGTACGGCAGTCTTGAGTGGAACCTTGAAGTGATAGGATGTGTGCTATTTAGGTCTGATAGCGAGCTGTGCTATATTCACATGTTATGTGTATAGTATTTACTTAGACATTAAAGTTACAATTATTATGAAAAGGAGTTGAGTTTGTTCAATGATAGTAGGACTAGTACGACGCATTCAACGTGTGAAAAGAACTTGACGAATGTAATCAATCCAAGAAGACTGTAGGAGTTAACAACAATGAAGAAATTCAATGGACTATAGGCTTGGATTGTGACGTTTAATTTATCAGTGCCCTTAAAAATTTAAATGAACTGCCTTAATTTATGATTATAGAACTTTAACAAGAAAGATGTGAATGTTTTTCAAATTAAAAAAAAATTATAAAAATAAATAAACATTTTTTCCGTAATTCGACCTTACATCTGTGTCATGTTCCCCCCCCCCAACTCCCTCCCCAAAGTATGTTCTTGATGCCCTAAGCATGCCTTTATTATCGGTAATTGTTGATCTAATCCGAGGAACGCCCTATTAATCGTCTATTGGCAAAGATTTAACAAGAAAGATGTGAATGTTTTTCAAATTAAAAAAAAATTATAAAAATAAATAAACATTTTTTCCGTAATTCGACCTTACATCTGTGTCATGTTCCCCCCCCCCCCAACTCCCTCCCCAAAGTATGTTCTTGATGCCCTAAGCATGCCTTTATTATCGGTAATTGTTGATCTAATCCGAGGAACGCCCTATTAATCGTCTACTGGCAAAGTTGTCTAGCAGAAATACTCGTCTGAGTGTCACGTTTTTTTTATTTCAAGCTTTCACATATCCTGTTCTACGATTTACGGAAGGTGTTTAGGCTGGCTTCGCAGTACTCTGGTACTTACTGAATGTGTGGACATTTTATTCTCACCTTACGCTGGAACGTACTGAACGTGTGGCAATTCGTTTTCACAGTACTCTGGTACTCACTGAACGGATGGGAATCTGCTCTCACAGTACGCTGGTACTTACTGAACGGACGGGAATCTGGTCTCACAGTACGCTGGTACTTACTGAACGGACGGGAATCTGGTCTCACGGTACGCTGGTACTTACTGAACGGATGGGAATCTGGTCTCACGGTACGCGGGTACTTACTGAACGGACGGGAATCTGGTCTCACAGTACGCTGGTACTTACTGAACGGACGGGAATCTGGTCTCACAGTACGCTGGTACTTACTGAACGGATGGGAATCTGGTCTCACAGTACGCTGGTACTTACTGAACGGATGGGAATCTGGTCTCACAGTACGCTGGTACTTACTGAACGGACGGGAATCTGGTCTCACAGTACGCTGGTACTTACTGAACGGATGGGAATCTCGTCACACAGTACGCTGTTACTTACTGAACGGACGGGAATCTGGTCTCACAGTACGCTGGCTTCACAAATATATCTCCGTCTTCTTTTCCACACTTGATTTTGCTATTCGGTAGAAAAACGTTGACAAATTTGTGTGTGGTTAAAAAGGTGTTGAGTGAGGGGGGGGGGAGGGTGGTAATTGTTAGTGATCATGGGTTTCTTTTTTCTCGAAAATGCGGAAGTTGCTTATGATCCTTGACTCGATCTCTTAAANTCTCCGTCTTCTTTTCCACACTTGATTTTGCTATTCGGTAGAAAAACGTTGACAAATTTGTGTGTGGTTAAAAAGGTGTTGAGTGAGGGGGGGGGGGAGGGTGGTAATTGTTAGTGATCATGGGTTTCTTTTTTCTCGAAAATGCGGAAGTTGCTTATGATCCTTGACTCGATCTCTTAAATCAGAAAATACATTGTGTATTAATTTCGCTAAAAAAAATTATCAATATAAATGCACATTTTATAAAAAAAAGATTTGTAATCACAGAATGTCAGATTTACTCGTGAATTTCTTCGGATGAATCATTTTGTTAGTCAGCTTGGGCTCGGAACTGCTGTACTTACTATTCTGGGAAGATGATATCATTGTATGCATTTGTAGGGACAATTGCATGGCACTGTTCCCCTTCCACAGTTGCAATGAGGGCACAGCCAGAGGTCAACAACTACAAGAAGAAATTTGTGGTATGTTGATGTACATTACATCACAAGAAAGACACCATTACAAAATAACAACATTTCATCACATCATCATAATATAAAAAAAATACAAAAATAATAAATAATTACAACATAACAACATTTCATCACGTTTTGGAAAAGGATAAGCAAGCTGTATTTCATTTCCTAGACATAAAATCATGATCTTGATGGTGAAGTTAAAAATAAAAAAAAAACAACAAAAAAAACGAAAAAAAGCAACCTGACAGTAACAGCAACTATGATGTTCATCGAAGCTTACGTCTGATGTGTCTTATAGTCGACACGTAAAATGCGATGATCGAATGAACGTGTCCAGCTCAGTCACGTAACTTACCGTCCAGTAAAATAAGCTTAACTGATGAACGTTTGATAGAACTTACCATCAAGTAGAAGTACATATTGGATGTATTGTCCAGCGCTGTCTCATGAACTGGGTGCCTTACCCGGACATTTATAATGTCCAACTTGGCCATCCGACACTTTGTTTGAAGACACATTAAACGTACCAGGGGCTCTTAAGGTGACACTTCAACGCTTAATAAAACTGCTTCATAAAGAAGTTCTAACACTTTAGAATATTCTAAAACTATTAACACAAAAAATTGCTTTGGTACTTTTGACTGCAAGATGGCCACTAATTGTGTACTTGACCTACCCACCAACCCTACCACCAAGCACCCCCCCCCCCTACTATTTCTTTGACTGGTTCCGTTTGATCTATTTTATTAGTACTTTCTCTTGATCTTCTCTATTAATAGGGCGGCAAAGTTGTGAGCCAGTGGCGATGTCTTGTTTGTGTACAATGTCGCTATTTTTGACACACAACATCCCGCTAATTACGTGCATAATAACATCAAAAACATTTCATCTGACATATGAATATTTAGTTAATTTTAAATATATTCTTCAATTATATTTAGATGACGTCACATCTATGAGTTGGAGGACACTGCACATAACTATGAGCTCAGCCAATATGAATATTGTTCTACTAAGTAAAGGTTAAGGGGTATCCACCTCAGATCGACTTTAAAAGACTTCATGTTTTTTTTTCTTCTTCCGTACTATAAGATCCCATCAAATCTAAATTATTTGTCCATAAAAGGATTTCGTAATTTTACCAATTTTAATCTGCAACAGGTAACGTGAGTTAAGTGCCCATTAAAAGCGCCTAACTGCATGGGTCGAGATTTAATGGCGTATCGCGTGAGCTGGTCAACGATCAGTTTTATTGATGCACCTTTTCAATGTGACACGTTCTTAAATGCGGCGAGATTGCTTGACGCGTCTTAAAGATGGATCTTCTCTCCCCTATCACTGATCATTGTGTATACTGTATATTCAAGCTAGCCATCGACAAGCAACATGCAATCTGGACACGGACAAACAACTTGCAATCTGGACATGGACAAACAACGTGCAATCTGGACATGGACAAACAACGTGCAATCTGGACACGGACAAACAACGTGCAATCTAGACATGGACAAACAAGGTGCAATCTGGACAAGGACAAACAACGTGCAATCTGGACATGGACAAACAAGGTGCAATCTGGACATGGACAAACAACGTGCAATCTGGACACGGACAAACAAGGTGCAATCTGGAAATGGACAAACAACGTGCAATCTGGACACGGACAAACAACGTGCAATCTGGACATGGACAAACAAGGTGCAATCTGGACACGGACAAACAATATGCAATCTGGACATGAAAAAACAACATGCAATCTGGAATTATCAAACAACATGCAATCTGGACATGTTTATACAACATGCAATCTGGACATTGACCAACAAGACGAAATCTAGAAATGGACAAAAACACAGAAAAAGAGGATGTCAAGACTCCAAACATTTTTAATTGGCCAATTTAATTGATCCAAATACAATGTGAGTAGTTTTCTCTGAGCCATTGGTCACTTGGAGTTGAACTTTCTGTAACTTTCCATTTCAAGTAAAGCAACCACATCTAGTGAAGACGAAGTCAAAACAAGATGATGAAAAAAACATTTTGATATTTTGAAGAAAGAAAATCTTTAATCCATCTTTCTTCACGCTCATCAAAATATGGCTCACTTTTTAAGAATGCATTTTGACGTGTGTAAAATGATTGGATTTTGAGATGGGTTTTGTTTCCGAGGTAGGGGTACACTTAGGTAAATATACCCATTGTTAATAAAGAGACATGTACACATAGTCGTCCACTACGTACGTAACCACACAATGTCTCGACGACCCTCTAAACTGTAATAAAATTCTAAATCCCCCAGGTCCCATTTACCCGCGTATTGTTTTACACTTTCAAAAAGAAAAAGTTCCTCTGACATCTCCCTTTTGTAGTGAACGATTTGGGTTATTTCTTTTTAACATTAAAAACCTATGCTAAAGTTTCAATCTGTATCATAAATTGTGTTTTGTGATTTTAACATCGAAATGAATCAATTGGCCCCTTCAAATGGTTATTTCTGATTTGGTCGAGTGATAAGTGAATTGGTCGAGTGGCATTTGGTTATGAATTTTCATTACTTTTATGTAAGGGCTTAACTGCATTTTCTTATTAAAAAATATTTTAAAACGTTAACTTTTGATCACTTTATAAAATTGAGAAAAAACAATAACACATTTTTGAAATGGAAAATAAGTAAAATTAGTTAAAAGTTAAAAAATAGAACGCTAAAATTGGGTGTAATGTATTAATTAACAATTTAAAGATGAATCAATAATATTTCATTTTTAAAAAGGAGAAAAAAAAACATCTATGTAGTCCCACGCGATTACTAGCTCAAGGAAATTTGACGCTTTGGAGTTGAGAGTTTTAAACTACGTTCCTATCAGATCATTCGGATTTTTATCTCTTTCGAGTTCAAATATTTTATTTTTATTTTATATTGTTTTAATACCTTTGGATCACATACATTTAAATTTATTTTCACAATATAATAACAATATTAAAAAAAAAAACAACAACAACAATTGTTTGCGTTATCCCGATAAATGTGATTATGAATTTTTATTATTTAATAATATCAATATTAATTTTTTTTTACTAATAAAAAGACTATCTTAAATTCTTTATCCAGATAAAACGCTTAATATGATTGTATTTAGTTATTTTAAATGTATTTCTAAATTATAATTATAATACTTCAACTTATACTTTGTTTTTATTATTTATAAATGGATTCGATTTCCGCAAAATAATAGACAATCCCCACCATTGTTTTGCAGAATCCAATTGTATTAAAATCGATTCGTTTTTTAAGAGTTATGTGGTCAGCCTAGCACAGTTTTGTGGCTAAGTGGACCAGTTAAGCTAATGCCAGTATGAATTTATGGCTTTCTGGCTCAGTTAAGCTAACGCCAGTATGAATTTATGGCTATCTGGGTCAGTTAAGCTAACGACAGTATGAATTTATGGCTGTGTGGGTCAGTTAAGTTAATGCCAGCATGAATTTATGGCTATCTGGGCCAAATAAAATAAGATGACACGGTGTATAAACTTTGAAAATTGGACCTATGGCTGCACGTGCGGCATTTAAGCAATTCTATCCAGCATGGTGATGACCTATTTTTGTTCAGTTAAAGAGTTGACATTGGCATATTTTACGTCTTAACAAAGTTTTATCCAAGACGCTAACTTATTTTTTAATAGTCTGAATAGCGATACTGTTGTTATTTGCTTTTTTTAAAAAGAATCAACTCCAAACGAACATAACGTGTTGCGTTTAATCCTTTCATATATTATAATAGAAGGAAATTAAAGGCAATATTGCCCCCTGAATAGCGTAGTTGTCAGACAATTTATAAGGAAGACTCATGCTACAACTCCCCGATAGAAAGAGCAAATATCTAAGACACACTTTCCCCTCTTCGTCAAAGGTTCATTTCTGTATTTATAAATAACTCACTTCTTGGGGAGGCACATGTCTAGATTTATACAAATGAATCTTTGAGTATACAAATCGTAGCAAATCATGGTGACTGGGATGTACTTCAAGGCCGTTGGGGCGCATTTCCCGAGGCGCAAGGGACAGTCGTTCCGACCAGCAGCATCGGTGGAATTGACGCATTGACTGCAGCTGTGAGGGATAGATTGCTTAGACAACGAAAAAGGATACCTATTTTTGAAAAAAAAAACCCTTACGGATAGCTTATTCATTTAACCATTAGGGATAGCCGATTTATTAAAATAATAGGTGCAGCTGATTTATTCACCAAGTGAGGGATATCTGATTCTTTAAACTATTTGGGATATAACAGCTGTTACAACTATTTCACGAGCCGACAAGAAGATCAATAGTTTCTTAGTGTATGCCGGATGTAATGGGTTCATTTGTGCGCTGATTCCTAAAATCGTAACAGATTTTTTCGCAATAGCTCCAGTTTTGAAGATAAGGATGAATTTTAAGAAGAGAAAAAAAAATATATATCCGCTATAAATAAGATCTACGTGTCCGAGATTTCTTTTTTTAAAAATCGGCTGTGTATGTGCTTAATTTACCAACTGTGTGTGTGTGTGTAAACAGATGTTAAACCTTCCTTTCTATCCTAAGCCCTAAAATTGTGTAGATGATGTACAAAATTGATGCCCTTTTGATTCATGAACTAGTTATGTAAACACTTTTAGTTGGTAAATCACGATTTTCTTATATTTCAATTTTTCTTTTTGTTTTTGTTTGTTTCTCAGCAATGATCTTTTTAAGACATTTGAAAACAGATTTTATTTCCAACTTGTAGGAAACCTATTCATGAGTTTGGCAAATAGCGCGTCTGTAAGTTATTGAGTGACAAGCTTGAGGTTAAATTGTGCAGTTGTGTCTTCATATTGTATGCAAAAGGTTTGGTTCGGCCGGGGAGTAGAAGAGAAACTACCAGTAATTTAGAGCCACAGTCGATTGGAGGGAACCAAGAGCCGCATCACTGATTGTCATTTTACAAACCTGCCATAAGTACGGAGGACGCAATCTTACTATTGTTGGAGAGACTTTACCATCCCCTAGACAGTCCTAAAACATATGCCAGAGTGCTTTTCTTAGACGTCTCATCAGCATTTAACACTATCCAACCACACCTTATGATAAAGAAACTTTCCTCGTTAGGTGTCAATTTAAATATTCAGGCTTGGATAATGAACTTTTTTAACAAATCGACCACAATATGTAAAAGTAAATAACCAAGTGTCTCTAACCAGAGAAGTAAGCAACGGCGCACCACAAGGCTGCATTATCTCTCCTGTACTGTATACAATACATACAAATGGCGTTAAAATCTTAAACTTTGCTGATGATACCACCATTGTTGGCTTAATATCTGAAGGAGAAGGCCTATACCACAGCTTAGTTACAAGCTTTATAAATTGGTGCGATGAAAATTTTCTCCAGTTGAATGTCTCAAAAACAAAAGAAATGGTTGTTGATTTCAGGAGGGAGAAACACCAGATTACAGATCTCAACATAAAAAAATCAAAATGTGGAGAAAGTGGAGGCATACAAGTACTTAGGTGTCACCATTAATAATAAGCTAACATGGCATGAGCACGGCCAAATGCTGTATAAGAAATTCAATGAAAGACTGTTCTACCTCAAAAAAACTGTACAATTTTGGAGTAAACAAGCAATTCGTTAACTTATTCTACATTGCAACAATTGGAAGCCTGCTTAATTTCAGTATTACCTGCTGGTGTGGGAATTTAACGTCTAATATTAAACACCGCATAAACCGACTAGGAACATACCACAAACTAAACATCCTTCACTTGAAGAACTATTTGAAGAAAGATATTTTTGCAAAACTAAACACATTTTGGATGATACATCCCACATATGACAGTTTGTCTTATCCTGATCCATCTTCAGCAAGGAGACATGTTCTGGACTCGGATTTTGAGTCCGATCCTTATTTGTGATGATGTTCAACCTTGCATTTCTTACATCGCATATAGTAAAGAAATTGGGGGCAGTGAAAAAAAAAGAGGGGGGGGGGAGGGGAGGGGGGAGGTTCTAACACTATCCCAAAGTGCATATTTTGAGCACAGAATGAATCGAGTGATCTGATCAGAGATTTAAATTTCCACCAGGATTCATCTGGAGTCCTTTCCCGCCAAACTAAATGAACAAATGTACTGCAGTCGTTAAGGATGAATTTCTGGACATTTCAAAGGAACGATATTAACATTAAAAGGATTTTTTTCTTCTGTTTTCGAAATACTAGGGCGAACTTCTTAAGCATCAGATTATATTGTCAACTAGATGTTGTCTTTTTTCTAATAGAGTTTTTCTTTTTTTTTGTGTTGAGAAACCTCGTAACTCGTAATCACAAGTTAAGCAGTCAAACGCCCCCCCCCCCCCTCTTTTCTCCATTTTCCAAAAAACGCCAAGCAACTAAACGCATTTTTTCACATTTTGATTAAGTCCATTTTTTATGAAACTTCCTTCAGGTCATGTGATAGTGAAACGGCCATGCCTATCCAATCAACGAGCAAAAAGACAGATTAAAAAAAAATATATACACCTCAATTTCTATGTACTGCAGTTTACTCACGAGCACTGGGCGTATTTCGGCAGCTTGGTGGGATTATTGATCATCTGGCAATACATGTCGTAATACAAGATTAAGCCTGGACACCGGATATTATCCCACGTGCATTCGAAGTTCTTCTTTTTATCACAGCACTCTCTGTAGGAAAGGAGAGAGCCATTGATAAAGAATATTTGCCAAATACTGGTGACAACTTAGGGATAATCCCAGGACTCAAGATTAGGGTAACGCGAATAAAATGAAACGAGATTGTTGGATGGAGAAGCTATGTAACTTCTTTTTTGTTTAAATATAAATTCCGATTAGAAAATATGTGTCTCAGACGAACGACGTTTGATAGAGGTGAGCTCGAGAGTATTGACGTGTCATAGAAGTGAGTTAGAGAGTATTGACATTTCATAAAAGTGAGTTAGAGAGTATTGAAATTTCATAGAAGTGAGTTAGAGAGTATCGACATTTCATAGAGGTGAGTTCGAGAGTATTGACGTGTCATAGAAGTGAGTTAGAGTGTACTTACATTTAATATAGGTGGGTTAGAGAGTACTGACATTTCATAAAAGTGAGTTAGAGAGTATTGACATTTCATAGAGGTGATCGCGAGAGTATTGGCATGTGATAGAAGTGAGTTAGAGTGTACTGACATTTAATAGAAGTGGGTTAGAGAGTATTGACATTTCATAAAAAGGAGTTAGAGAGTATTGACATTTCACAGAAATAAGTTAGAGAGTACTGATATTTCATAGAGGTGAGAGTGTATTGACATTTCATTGAGGTGATTTAGAGAGTATTGACATTTCATAGAAGTGAGTTAGAGAGTATTGGCTCTTTTTATGTCTCAGTAATTTGTATTTTATGATGAGTAAAGTGAAAATGCCCAAGTTTTGACTCACTGAAATGCTCCATTGGGATTTTCCAGTGCAACCTGAAACGAAAGACTTAACTCCAGCGAAGCAAGTAAGCATAAAGCTGAAGATATCGTTGGTAATTCAGTGCAAGAGCTAACGTAAGATGATACTTACCGAAATGGCGTAACTTGGTTTTTGTCGCAGTACTCGGGCACGATGGTGACAGGCTTACGGTTGACTCTGTAACATTCTATTGGGCTGTTTGCATTTTTAAAAAAAAAAATGTTAGTGAACTAAATTTAAATAGTCGAAATCATTCTGACCCTATGACCCAGTGATTATTTTACTAGCTAAACTATCTTGTGGTTTTAACTAGATTCTAGAAAAAAAAAGAAAATGCCATCTGCCATGTGAATGATCGGAATGTCATTGAGCTAATTTAAACAAGTCATGTCGAAATTTTGAACTACGTAGCACGGTCTCATCGTATGGACGTCTTCATCACCCAAGGGCAAACGAAAGTTACGTAGACTTTTCGTCTGAGCGCCTTCCTCCGCTAACTAAACAAAACAATTACGCAGACTTTTCGTCGAATGACTTCCTTAGCCAACAAAACAAGTCAAAAAGAACCAATTAGAGCAGTTATTTCCTGTTCAGCTAAAACTTACGTGATATAAAAATTCTTGTTAATTTTTCAAGAAAATTTGATTTTTAATTTTTATTTTTTATTATTATTTATTGAAATAGGATTTGAAAAATTAAAATTAATATTAATAATTTTGTTCAAAATTGTATACATAAGCAATAGTAGTGTCATACAGAATAGCCTAGTAACACGTTGTACAGAATAACCTCATGAAATTTTGCACAGAGCAGCCTCATGACATTTTGCACAGAACAGCCTCATGACATGTTGTACAGAATAACCTCATGACATGTTGCACAGAGCAGCCTCATGACATGTTTTATAGAATAACCTCATGACATGTTGCACAGAGCAGCGTCATGACATGTTGCACAGAACAGATTCATGCCATGTTGTACAGAATAACCTCCTGACATGTTGTACAGAACAGCCTCATGACACGCTGTACAGAGAAGACTCATGACACAGTGTACAGAATAGTGTCATGGCATGTTGCACAGAATTGCCATATGATATGCTGTGCATAATATTCTCATGACATGGTGTACAGAATAACCTCATGACATGGTGTACAGAATAACCTCATGACATGGTGTACAGAACAGCCTCATTACATGGTGTACAGAACAGCCTCATGACATGTTGTACAGAATTGCCTCTTGACACACTGAGGTTAAATGCATGTCACATCATCTAAAATATGATGAGTGAGATCTGCGTTATGGTTACTCACTAATTTGGGAACGTTAGACCGAGGTCTTCTACAACTTGAAAAGGTGTTGGCGTCCAGCAGTCGTCTACCGCACCAGCTTCCTTAGCAGCGAGGGTGGCTCCAATGAATAGTACCTGATTACAAACAGAACATAGAGATTTGGTCTTCTTCTTTTTTCTTCTAACTGGGTTTGGTCTTTGAAAGCAGTGCACTACTGAACACGCCAGAATGGCGTCATTTCCATCCCGAGAATTCCGAGCCCACAATTTTAGAATATTTTTTTTTTTTTTTTTTAAATTAAACATCAGATGGTCACGGATTGTAGCAAAGTGTCGCTACAAACCAGGTACTGTCAAATATGTGTTAACAGAGCTTACACAGTGAGCTCAATAATTCATGTACATGGGTTCTCAAGCGTTAGCAAGTGACGACCACATTCATATAGATGCAAAGCAATGTACCACGATGTAGTGGAAGAAAATGGACTTTTAAACATTTTTAAATTCTTGGAAATGATCTTCGTCTTTTCATCTCAATGTTATCGGTGACATATTGAAATCCATGGTACAAATTGTCACTTAAACTTTAAAGCAACAGTTTTAAAAAATATAAACTGTAAAAAAACAAAACACCAGTTCTCTTAGTCTATTGTTTTAGACCAGCGGTTCTCAACCTGTGGGTCGCGACCCCTTTGGGGGGTCGCAAGACCATTTTCACGGAGGTCGCCTTGGACAATCTGAAAACACATATGCTCTACAGATGTAAAGTATGAACGAAAATAATTTAGTGGTTTGGGGTCGCGACAACATGAGGAGCTGTATTAAAGGGTCGCGGCATGTGAAAGGTTTAGAACCACTGTTTTAGACAATGACCTCACGTAATTCCCTTCGCAGCCATTTTGAGGTCCCCTCCCCTGGGCTGGAAACCTGTACTCTTGGAAAATGATTTTCTAAATATGTTCATATGTAAAAATAGATTTTATGTTATATGGTATATTTTCCCCAACATAAATGTAGTGAGCAATTAATATATTAATGTATTAAAATTCTTAATAATTTTTATTTTTTAAATTCGAAAAGTACCACCGTTTAAATCCGTTATATGAACCTCACTTTTGTTCGTGGCTGGCTAGGAGAATTTTCGGACGGCTAGTTGACCCACTTCCCGTCAACATATCGAGCTGAAACAAGGTATAAGGACTCGTTGCCGACGACAACATAGTCTTTTAAGTTTAAAGATAAAGGAAATATGATGCTACTGATTTCACTAAATAAAATTCCCAATAACTACCCTACATACATTGCTTGAAAAAAAAAAAAACAATTACGCAAGTGCGTAATACATTCTTTTGTTTTTTCTGAAGTTGTTGGTGAAATAAATCTGCGGTGTCAAAGCGGTTGGGACTGTAGTATATTTATATTAAAAAAATAAATAAAATGCATATCAAAGATTTATGCGAAAAACTTTATTTTAAGGCTTTTTTTAATAAATTAACTTGATTTCTGTAAAAGAATAGAACAGCCCTATCAGTGCTATTTAAGAATCCGAACGTAATTAAATCGATTCGTTTTTTTTAGCGTTACATTGGATACATTAACTCATTCTGATGTACTAGAATGTATGACCCGATCTTACCACTGGTAGGAATGTAGCGATAATTTCTACCTGCTTTTGCGAAAACTCAACGGAATTCTATGTTTTAAAAAGAAGTATCTGTGTAATGATATTATATGTGTGTGCATATATATGTATACTATAATAATTGACATGATATGTCAAAATATAACAAATTAGTGCCTGCTTTAATACTTGTATTGCAAGTTGTAGGACCGACCACTTGCGCTTACGCCGTCTTGTTGATCGACTTTAACTTCTCTGTATTACATTCATGTTTTGTTGATCATGACAACGACCTTGACCTTTTATGACCAGTTTTAAGCAATCGCTTAACCCGATATTTGATCGCAAACTGATCAAATTAACTTTTCGTGGCTACCAAATATTTCTCCCAACAAATTAAAATTATAAACTGCATCTATAAATACATTTAAATTTTCTACGACGAAAGTCTGAAATGAACCCTCGAACTGAACCGCCATTTCTTGTTGCTTTCAAAGGTTCACAACTCTGCCGGAAACAAGAACATGTTTTGATATCAACCTGGCGCTGGTTGGTACATGTCCGTGCATCACCGACGGTAACCGATGTTATCTCAACACATGTAGCCATGTTCACTTTGTTATTGCGTTTGTCTTTTCTACCGGCTCCGGTCTCGTACGTCAGTCCTTGGGATCCGGTGAAATACGGTACCAGTGGAGTTGCACCCTAACTGGTTTTAATTGTGATGACTCGTGACTTTGGTCGGTTCTGTAACTGTTATATCAGTCGCATTGTGTAATTGTCATTTATGTTACGTTGTTTAACAGTGACTTCTGTCACGTTGTGTAACTATCATTTCAGTCACGTTATGTAACTGCCATTTCTGTCACGTTGTGTAACTGCAATTCAAGTCACGTTGTGTAACTGCCATTTCTGTCATGTTTTGAAACTATAATTTCTGTCACGTTGGGTTACTGTAATTTATGTCACTTTGTGTAACTAGCATTTCTGTCACGTTGTGTAATTGTAACGTCTGTCACGTTGTGTAACTGCCATTCATTTCATGTCGCGTAACAGCTACTTAACCCGATTACAGTCTTTTATATGTGGCAATTTGCAAGAAGTAATCATTATGATCATATAATCACCATTTTCAGATTAAATAGGTTTCAAATAAGTTACACAACTGCACATACAACGAACACACATCAACAACGAACCTTCTGTCAGCTTACCCAGTAGTGAAGGTCCATGGCTAGTAAGCTGTAGTAATGTCTTGGCTTCGAATGTCTCAAAAACAGTATTTAACTCCCGGGCATATTTTACTATACGTATCATTTATATCCTGATGTGCTTCATCACGTGACCACATCAAAAGGTTCCCAAAAATAAAATTAGTGACATTCGTGACACGTTGAATGGTCAAGGTGACATCTGTGACACGTTGAATGGTCAGGGATCCTCAAGTCTATTTTAAGACAACGTTTTTGTCTCATGCTCTGAAGTCTGAAATGGTATAAAACCGCTTAGAAACATTTGATCACAAATACAATACAATATACATTTAATATGAAAGAATTAAAAAAAAAATATCTCGTTAAAACTCCATCCAGGGTTGAAAACTCAATACAATTTCAATTACTACAAAAAATATTTTTTATAAAAATCTCTATTTTAATAATAATAATAATAATAAAGTGTATTTAAAAAACACGCTTCATCCCCAAAGGCTCGAAGCGCGGTACAAGAGTAAAAAATCTATAATTTACCACATTTAAAACAAACGCAACATTACAAAAACTAATTACAAGCATACAATGTCAAAATCTTTCTAGCCATTTCAACCATACGCAACACAGCCATTATGCATTAAATGAAAAATAAGGTAGACAATCATCCCAGAAAGTGTTTGCGAAATAAATGTGTCTTTAAATCGGTTTTAAAGGACTCCAGTGTCTGGATGTTTCTGAGATCGACAGGAAGGGCGTTCCAAATTGTTGGACCAGTAAATGCGAAAGTGCGCTTTCCGCAAGTCTCAAGGCGAACACGTGGTGTCGAGAGTTTGCCACTGTCGGATGAGCGGAGTTGTCTAGTGGGAACATAAAGCGTCAGCAGCTCTTTCAGATATTTTAAGGGCAAACATACATTGACGAAAACATTTTTTAGATACAATTTTCAAACCTAAATGATGTGCTGTGTTGTCAACTTTTAGTCTTCTTACGATACACAACAGTCAGTTCATCAACGTAACAATAATATTCATTTCTTTTTTTTTCAAGCTAGGTCATTTTTAGAGGTCAGGGAATATCTTAGGATTAACGACACAAAGGTCGAGTGGGACCAGCAGTCTTCTTACGATACACAACAGTCAGTTCATCAACGTATCAATAATATTCATTTCTTTTTTTTTCAAGCTAGGTCATTTTTAGAGGTCAGGGAATATCTTAGGATTAACGACACAAAGGTCGAGTGGGACCAGCAGTCAATGCGGCCCCAGTAGAGTAGATCAATGCCGCCCTGGCAGTCAAAGCGGCCCCAGTAGATCAATGCGGCCCCAGTAGAGTAGATCAATGCCGCCCTGGCAGTCAAAGCGGCCCCAGTAGATCAATGCGGGCCCAGATGTATTGCAGCCTCAGCAGTCAATGCGGACTCATCAGTAAAGGCTTACCCAGCAGTTATTTCGGCCCCAGTTGTCAATGCGGCCCCAGGGGATTCTCGGATATTTAAGGGGCCTAAACTTGCTATGCAGAAATAATTTGAGATGACAACATTGAGTGCAAAGAAGAGAAACAGCATAAGGTGTGACGTCTCCAAAAGTAATGCTACGGGTCTGTCAAACAACTAGATTACTGCAGACTAAAAATGTTTTATACGAAAAAAAAAAGACGTTTCAGATGATTTGAGAGACACTGGACACGCGCTTCGATTTGAACAGATTAAAAAAAAAAAAAAGAAAAACCATTTGACCAAAAGTAATGCTACGGGTCTGTCAAACAACTAGATTAATGAAGAATAAAAATGTTTTATACGAAAAAAAAAAGACGTTTCAGATGATTTGAGAGACACTGGACACGCGCTTCGATTTGAACAGATTAAAAAAAAAAAAAAAGAAACACCATTTGACCGGAGCCTCCATAACTGTCTACGCTGCAGATCTTGATTAAAGCAGACAGCTAATTAGACAGATTATTATATGGTGGTGCTTCAAAGATTTGGTGACTTGGGATGGTCTTGAAGTGACATGAAATTAAACCTGCCAAGTACATGAGAAATACGCCCCCCCCCCCCACAAACCTGTCTAAGGTTTTTATATGTTTCTTTGTGGCTAGAGATTTAAAAAATAAGTCGCTGTTTCTAATCAGTGTCAATAACTGAGATCAGTAGCGTAGCTAGTTTTGGCGTAGCTAGTTTTGGCGTAGCTAGTTTTGGCGTAGCTAGTTTTGGCGTAGCTAGTTTTGGCGTAGCTAGTTTTGGCGTCACCAGGTGCTGTAGACTCATGTCAACCCCCTTCCCCCTGACTTTCACAAAATATTTCTACTTGTCACAATAAGTTGACTGTATGAAAAGAACAAAAACAAATTAATTGAAGGTCGGGAGATAAATGTATTTAAGAACTGAGGCAATGTTAAGTTATAGTTATATATTTACATGAATTGTTCCCTTCCTTGTCTTCAAAGCTGTAAAACTGTCAATCACTTAATCAAAATCAATATCGTTCATCGTATCACTTTCCCCTCATAGTGAGCCAGATCAGAAAGCCCCTTGTTAGAACCTAAATAGTTTGTTTTTTTTATAAGCCTTAGTTTCGAAAAGCTCCTGTAACATGAAGCTATAGACACACTGATCGTAAGAAACAATATAAGGCTTAGCGAGAGTATTGGAAGAGAATCTAGAAAGTCAAATTCATCTATGAATTTCAAATTATAAAATACTGACCAGTCCTTGACTTTGTGAATTCAATATCAGCTGCCTTTAGATGTCTTCTAAGCCTTAGTATTTATTTTAAAAGTTCATCCTCTGATAACTCATCATAGAAAGAGGTTATGTTTGGAACGGCCACAAATAACTCTTCTTCACTTGCTGATACTAGACTCTTGGGTTGAACAGCCCCAAACATATCTGCTACTTTCTTGATTGCTGATGATCTGATCTGGAGTTCAGAATCAATACACTCCAGCACCTCTCTACTGTTTTCTTCTCGCAGAGAGAGTCCAGCATCTATTAATTTTCCTCCTGCACTTCTCTTTTTAAGAATTAATCTCTCTCTACTGAAATACATATTATTCTGATTTTAAAAGTCCCTTTTCAGTACCATATTCCACCTAAGGACAGCGCTTCTCGTGCAGAAAACAATCTTAAGGCCTCTAGGTTGGTCACCACTTTGCCAAGAGTAAAGCCTTTAGTCTACAGATACAGTTGTGTAAGATTAACTTCTTCAAGTAGATCAGGCCAAATGTAATAAATGTATCAGACAAAAGTGATATTATGTACAGCATGTAATAGACATTGTGCTGTAAGAAAATCGTGCTCCAAAGTTAAGTGGCGGGCTAGAGACAAATCGGCGAAAATATTTACATTTAAGTATTCCTAGTTTTCAATATATTTAGAAAAGAAAAAAAAATAATACTATCAAAAAAAAATATTAAAGATAGAAAATTGTGTAAATAATTATTTCGTAAACCGTATAAGTGGGTAAAAAATCATGTTTCATTGTTTTTAATTTTTACCGATTTGATTCATTTACTTACAATCGGCTGACCACATCGTATTTTTTTTCATAGGAAATCCCAACAGACAGCCAACAATTTACCCACTTCCCGTCATGCTATCGAACTGAAACTTTACACATAGACTTACACCCATTGAAAATGTCATATTTCAAATATCTTTCCCTTGAAAAAAAAAGGGAGCACTGATTTTGGGGGCCGGGGTTGTGGGGTGGGGTTTAAAATTTGAAAGTTAGTGTTGTCACCGGCAACGAGTCTATGTGGCAGGTTTCAGTTCGATGGGAGGACAGGAAGTGAGTCAATCAACCGTCCGAAGATTTTGACAGAAACAAACGATCAAAAGCGAAATTAATATAATGGATTTAAAATTTTTTTTTTTTTTTAAATGTGCAAGGAATTTAAACCAAAAAGAAAATCTCAATTTGCATACGTTTTATTCAATGACCGAAACAAACAATCAAACAAACAAAAAAATACCATTGACATTTTCTCAAATGAACGCTAGGGTTCACCGGTGATATAAGAGTAAAATATGCCTGTATTCTGTTTTAATTTATTCTCATTTGGATAGACAACTTGAATAAATTTTTTTTTTTTTTTTTTTTAAATCCATAAATTATCTGCAATTATCTGGAGAACATGTTTCAGTCAGAATAAACATCAGTTGAACAAACGTGGCTTTGCCGTCACCGGCTGTGGCATTAGCCGGCTACGGTCGCAGGCCGGGGGGTCGTGGCGGCGGCCGCGCGAGTGGTCAAGCGCGTGGTGGTCACCGTCGCAGCCGCGCGCGTTGTGGCACGCGTGGTGGCACGCGTGGTGGCGCGCGTGGTGGTGGCGACCACAGCAGCCCGTGTGGTTGGGGCCCGGGTGGTGGTCGTGGCTGCTATCACCGTACCGGTGGTCGCCACGTTTGCGGCAAATGCGTTCTGGGGAGCATTGGGGCTGGGCAAATAGGTTGTGTTGTAGTATGGATAGGAGGTTGTGTTGTAGTATGGATAGGAGGTTGTGTTGTAGTATGGATAGGAGGTTGTGTTGTAGTATGGATAGGAGGTTGTGTTATAGTATGGATAATAGGTTGTGTTGTATGGATAATAGGTTGTGTTATATGGATAATAGGTTGTGTTGTAGTATGGATAATAGGTTGTGTTGTAGTATGGATAATATGTTGTATTGTATGGATAGTAGGTAGTGTTGTAGTATGGATAATAGGTTGTGTTATATGGATAATAGGTTGTGTTGTAGTATGGATAATAGGTTGTGTTGTAGTATGGATAGGAGGTTGTGTTGTAGTATGGATAGGAGGTTGTGTTGTAGTATGGATAGGAGGTTGTGTTATAGTATGGATAATAGGTTGTGTTATATGGATAATAGGTTGTGTTATATGGATAATAGGTTGTGTTGTAGTATGGATAATAGGTTGTGTTGTAGTATGGATAATATGTTGTATTGTATGGATAGTAGGTAGTGTTGTAGTATGGATAATAGGTTGTGTTATATGGATAATAGGTTGTGTTGTTGTATGGATAATAGGTTGTGTTGTAGTATGGATAATAGGTTGTGTTGTAGTATGGATAATAGGTTGTGTTGTAGTATGGATAATAGGTTGTGTTGTAGTATGGATAATAGGTTGTGTTATATGGATAATAGGTTGTGTTGTAGTATGGATAATAGGTTGTGTTATATGGATAATAGGTTGTGTTGTAGTATGGATAATAGGTTGTGTTGTAGTACGGATAATATGTTGTATTGTATGGATAGTAGGTAGTGTTGTAGTATGGATAATAGGTTGTGTTGTAGTATGGATAATAGGTTGTGTTATATGGATAATAGGTTGTGTTGTAGTATGGATAATATGTTGTGTTGTATGGATAGTAAGTAGTGTTGTAGTATGGATAATTGGTCGTGTTGTAATAGGCAGACCAACTCTGAGTGGACGTCAGGTTGTACAGGTTGTCCTGACCCAGCCAGCTGTAATAGACCGAGGCCGTGTCCTTGTTGTAGGCCGGGTCGCTCGATGACGGGGCGCATGCGTCATAGTAGGTGTTCAGATATGGTGATGAGTACGTCACTCGGCCGGAGTTTGTGCCGACTCCACCTGTAGCGACAGCGATGGCTTCACCATTGTAAGCTCGGGCGGACGCGGCAATCTGTGGACGGTAATGGAAGTAAACAAATAATTGGACTTTTTTTTTTTTGGGGGGGGGGGGGAATCCTTTAAATTAAAAGGAAAAAAATAATTAAAAACTATAAAAGTGGGACAAATAATTAGAGTTAACATTCCCAGCGGTCAGTGGGCTGGTCATTGAGCAGACAAGACATTGGTATACCAGTGGACATTGCACAGCTTGACACCTATTGCAGCTTGATAAAATGTTTCAGAGGCCGAGCTCCTACAGTTGCTCCCCATTCACGGATTTATTATATAATACAATATAAGAGATTAAGAAAACAGCGTAAGTGGGGTGGGGGTCCCACACGAATTAGCCTTCCCTACAACCCCCCTCCCTAGGCACGCCACTCAGGGACGCCCACACCTATATTTCCCAGCTTTAACGCATACAAGCATGACACGCCCATATTTGGTGGCCAAATGTCTCCCACAATTTCCTGTTATATTTTCACACATTAAATTGGCCTTGTGAGCAGTAATCCAATGATTTCACTTCTAGCCGGTCTAATCACCTGGAATCCGCTGTCCGTCACAGAGCTGTCCGTCCTGAAGTCCAAGGTGAAGGTCGAGTAAGCGGGCACGACGTATTCGTAGTTGTAGTTTGATAACCAGCCACCGCAGTACTGGACTCCGCTGATGCACAGTCTGTCGTAGCTGCAGCTCTGACTCTCGTACTCCAGGGAAAAATAGCTGGGGAGACACAGAACGTGTTTAGATTGTTTATGTTTGACTTGTGCTGGCTGTGTTTAGATTGTTTATGTTTTACTTGTGTTTGCTGTGTTTAGATTGTTAATGTTTGACTTGTGTTTGCTGTGTTTAGATTGTTTATGTGTTACTTGTCTTAGCTGTGCTATACATTTTATAGGTGTTGCAATATTTTTTAAAAATTTACCCTTTTGTCAACCATTTGATCACAATATTTAATCTTCGTTTTTCCAGCATCGTGATGGTAGGTTTTGAAGAGTAATTGAATTTCAACCTTTCTCTTGTCCTTGATTAAAGGCTTTGTTAAGACTAATGATGTACAGCTTTGCCTAGACTAATAATGTACAACTTTCTTAAGACGTATGATGAACGGGCGTAATTTGCATCGAAATGTCGTCATTTTTAATTATATATATATATATATATATATAATTAAGATGAATACAATTAAAGTAAAATATCCATTTTTCGTGTTTGTTGTAAAGCTATCATTCCCTTGCACACAGAGCCGTCTCGGAACTTTTGGAGGACCCAACTGCCACGATTAGGTTTAGCGTTTCCTGCACACAAAGTTGATAGTTGATTTTCCATTGATCACCATTTTGGGCTCCCTAACCACCCGAGGCCCCACTGCAGCCCCACTGCAGCCCCAGTGATTGCGGAGCCCACGTGAAGGATCTGGTTGCGCAGCCAGAAAACCAAATGGCAGAATGGGTTTAATCCAACAGAAAGTGGGAGAAAGTTTAGCACAGCTGCTATTGAACACGCGTGGCACACTCACTTGTATTGTAGGCTGATGATCAGAGGCTGGTTCTGTGTTCGAAGGGTCGCCTTACAGGCAACGTTGTTGGGATAGTTCCTCTGGCCGAAACCGGGGCTCTTGATAAGGCCGTACGACTGGGCGCCGATGTTGATCAATGACTTGGTAGAACCATTGCATAGCTCGACTACTTGCGAAGACGTCTGGAAAAAAGAAAGGAAGAAAGAAAAAGAGGAAGTGGTTGGTAGGTTGACGAGTCAGAATAGCTTTGTTGATTCATTGCTGTGTTTGATAAAATCATCTTGATAAATTATAGCCCTACTAGTGCATGTGTGCCGAGTTGTGAATTAGGAACATGGAAAAGTTTCGGTTTTATTATTATAATTTATTATTTTTAAAAAAAACAGTCGTTCTTCCAAGTCAATTCTCTAAACGGGATCGCAGCCAACTTGCGCGTCAAACAGTCATGCGTGGCGCGTAAGAGCTTTCCGTTTGGTAAAATCAGGTAATTTTTTTCGTTTTCTTTTGTTTGAATGCCAAGCTCGACATGATAACTGGTCGAATAAAAGCAACACGTAACAACTAACTCGCTAGTATATATACTTTAGATGCATGTTTGTTTCCATTTTTTGTTGCATCTATGTAATTGTACGCGAATTATCATTTATTTAATTGTAAGCGAATTATCATTTATTTAATTGTACGCGAATTATCATTTATTTAATTGTAAGCGAATTATCATTTATTTAATTGTACGCGAATTATCATTTTTTAATTGTACGCGAATTATCATTATGTAACTGTACGCGAATTATCATTTATGTAATTGTACGTGAATTATCATTTATGTAATTGTACGCGAATTATCATTTACGTAATTGTACGCGAATTATCATTTATGTAACTGTACGCGAATTATCATATACGTAAGCCGCCGGAAGATGTTGCAACCCACTGAGTCATTTCGCCAGCCTCCACCCACAAAAAAGCAACGTTAATATAAAGGATTTTAAAATTGCATCTTTTAGTAATACTTGCTAAGACTTTAAAAAAAACACTCTTTATCGCGTGACTCCAGGTACTGAAAACTCTGGTTGACCTAGCACCCAAGACAAGGCTCATGACTCTAGGCACTGGAAACTCTGGTTTCCCCTATACCCAAGTCTAGGCTCATGACTCTAGACACTGGCAAACCTGGTTTCCCCTACACCAAAAGCTTAAGCCAGCAGGATGGCTAACGTTGTAAGGTTTGTTTTAATAAAGATGGCATACCTGTCTGCGCACAACATTCGCATTGGTCACCAACAGCGCTCCGGCCAGGACGGTCAAAAGTCTTAAGATGAACATTGTCGAGTGTTGACCAGTCAGGCGACACTTGTGTGGTGTTCTGGTCTGTGAGGAGCTCGATGGAAAGGGACGCGATCTTATACTCGGCTGACTGTTGACTTTCGATCATTCCCCTTTGTTTGCAGAGTTTGGATGGGCGGCAATAAATAGATGCCACCTGGCCAGCTCTCATGTCATGTTTCATGTCTCTGTGGAGTGTGAGCAGATTCTTTTGTGTGTCAACATCAAGGTCCATCCTGGGGTAACATTCATTTGCCATCTCATGTTCTTGACGCGTATCTGTGGCCATCTTCTCACCTTTGATGTGTATCTGTGGCCATCTTCTCACCTTTGATGTGTATCTGTGGCCATCTTCTCACCTTTGATGTGTATCTGTGGCCATATTCTCACCTTTGATGTGTATCTGTGGCCATCTTCTCACCTTTGATGTGTATCTGTGGCCATCTTCTTCTCTTTCATTTGTAGCTATGGGGATCTTCTCCTATTTCATTTAAATGTATGACCATCTTTTTCTTTTCTTTTTGTTTTGTATCAATGGCCATCTTCTTCTCTTTGACGTGTAAGTATGACCATCTTCTTCTCTTTTTTTTAAAATCTATGTACATCTTCTCCTCTTTCACGTGTATCTATGGCAAATTTCCCACCTTACAACGGATTTATTTATATACATACATAGCGAGCCAAATCTTGGATGATTGATTTTCCTTCTATTATAGATTACATATGTTCCTTTTTAAGGTCAGATAACGGGGTGTAGTGCTCTTGAGTGGGCTCGTGATGTCTGCTATGTCACGTGATTGAGCGATGGTCTTGTGCCCAATTGTTATTTCCCCCCATTAATCACTCATTTAACCCAGCCCCACATGACCGCACCTGGGTGTTTGGGGGAAAAACAACGTGGGTGTTGGGGGGAAAACAACGTGGGTGTTGAGGGGGAAAAACAACAAACACATGCTTTAAAAGCTGTGGGCTGGATATTTTCGGATAAGGAGTTGTTTGACGAGTTCACTTGGAAAACCCACTAAGTAACTTCAGGCTGAACTTGAATAAAAAGCTGTTTTGTGTAAATAAACTTTACATAGGAAATGTAGAATTTTTTTAACTTTATTTTGGTGACGGATTAGACTTAATTGAAGCTTTTGATTTATCAGATACATAAATTCTCTAGACTGACACTTAACAAACCAGGAAAAATAGATAGCATTTTGTTTTCTTTAAAAAAATGACTTAACTGGGAATTGCAAGTGGCATCCTCATATTTTTTTTTAAATATAGGTGTGGTGTTCCTATATATTTTTGGACTGAGATAAACTAGCCATATGAAAACTGATGGCGCTCCTGGACTGGGTTAAACTAGCCAGTTTGACGCCTGATGGTGCTCCTTGACTGGGTTAAACTAGCCCAGTTTGACACCTGGTGGGGCTTCCCACCTTGTGGAGAGTGGGTCTAGAGATTTAATCGCCCACATTAACCAAGAGCTGAAACTACTGACGCCGGACTCTGTCATGATAGGTGTTGCACCATGTGTTAAATTCACAAGCACTCATGCCATAGACCACATGCAGTTTCCGGACTTACTGTCTGGGGCAAAATGTTGCCTATGAAGATATGCCGTGCCACGAAACAATCCTCTGGCTCAGTCGAGGAAGAGTTTTAAAACCGTTTTATGACTTGCTTCCACGGGGGATCTGCTGGGAGGCTGTCAAAAAATACAATACAAAACAAAAAAAAAAAAAAAAAAAAAAAAAAAAAAAAAAAAAAAAAAAAAAAAAAAAAAAAAAAAAAAAAAAAAAACGGAGAAGTACCTTAGATCAAAAAATTTAGAATTGAAATGGCGTCTTGCAGATTAAACAGAACTACACAACATTTTAACCCAGCCACGACCGTCCCAAACCCGTGTGCTAAAAGGAGGAGGGTTGGCGTGAGTCCAGTTAGGAGGAAGGTTGGCGTGAGTCCAGCTAGGAGGAAGGCTGGCGTGAGGCCAGCTAGGAGGAAGGCTGGCGTGAGGCCGGCTAGGAGGAAGGTTGGCGTGAGTCCAGCTAGGAGGAAGGTTGGCGTGAGTCCAGCTAGGAGGAAGGTTGGCGTGAGTCCAGCTAGGAGGAAGGCTGGCGTGAGTCCAGCTAGGAGGAAGGTTGGCGTGAGGCCAGCTAGGAGGAAGGATGGCGTGAGGCCAAGTGAGTCCAGCTAGGAGGAAGGCTGGCGTGAGTCCAGTTAGGAGGAAGGTTGGCGTGAGTCCAGCTAGGAGGATGGTTGGCGTGAGGCCAGCTAGGAGGAAGGCTGGCGTGAGGCCGGCTAGGAGGAAGGTTGGCATGAGGCCAGCTAGGAGGAAGTTTGGCGTGAGGCCAGCTAGGAGGAAGGTTGGCGTGAGGCCAGCTAGGAGGAGGGTTGGCGTGAGGCCAGCTAGGAGGAAGGTTGGCGTGAGGCCAGCAACCTTACCCGTTAAAAATCATACTGGTACATAAACGTCAAAAAAAAAAGACAGACAAAAAACTTTATTTTCAGCCCTGAACTGAAATGAACGGAAACATTCGTGCAGAGAGTCTATGTCCCAGACGGTGTAAAAGACATAAGTAAGTAGTAGATAACACATTATTTTAAATATGCTACTTCAAGGAAAGGTAGAAGCTGACCAGTGATATGCAGTCAACCTTATACGCATATCAAATTAAACAAATAATACCCGCCCCGCTCTTTTTTTCGTTCAAAAATTGAATAAGAGAAAACGTCTTTTAGTTTCCTAGCACTCTCAAAACCATCAGCTGCATTCCACAAACCAAAACATGTCTGAGTTTACTGGGAGTGTTTCAAAAAAGAGTTTTAAATGAGATGTAAACAGCTCCGTTTCCATGAAGTGGACATGAAATGGACACGGACTTGACTTGAACTGGACACCCACGAGTTCCGGTGCCTATTATCTGTTGGCCTCGAAGATCTTGATCCGATGGACCAAACTGAACAAGCCGACAGACTGAAGACTCATGACTCGCATTTCTAATAACACGGCTTCTCTCCCACCTGAGCCATGTCTTAGTGGCCAGGAGCAGTACACTCCAGATAGCAGCGGTCTTTGGCAGCACCGACTTACTTACTTCTTAAACCAATGGAACACCCGAATCTCCAAACAGAATTCAGACTAACATTTCAAAGTTTGTTATTATTTCATATAAAATTAATACATTTTATATGTCTGCTCTAGCAAGAGCAAAAATATCATTAAAATAATAATAATAATTAGGTAAATAAGAACATAACTCTCGTTTAATCCTGATAAATGAATCGGAGTTATTAGCATTAAGTTTTTAAAATAAAAATCATGGAGTTAATAATCTCTAATGTGAAAGTCAAGCTTTTTGTTAAAGGCTATCGGATTTTTCTTCATCCCTGTATACGCCCACTTTGAGATAATTCTTTCAGTCATTGAAAACAATATATAAACAATCACTTAGTCTGAAGCGAATCAATTCTCTCATCGGGTATCTGTTGTATATTTTGTGATGTTGTATCCAACACAGAGTTACACAAGGAAGCTAACACAACTACACGGCCTCCCACCTAGACCTTTCATCACAGCCCACAACAAAACAATATGGCTTCTGTGTGCAATAAACACGGGATAATGTGTACAATAAACACGGGATTCTGTGTACAATCAACACGGATTTTTGCATGCAATAAACACGAGCTTCTGTGTACAATAAACAGTGGATTTTGTGTACAATAAACACGTGTTTCTGTGATGATAATAAAAGTGAAGTATCATTGACGATGCAATTACAATGATAATAAAACAGTATCAGGAACTGTTTTTAAATTACGACTGGACCAAATGTATTTGAATGCATTCCCATGGACCATCCAGGCTGCACAAAAAATAGTATTCCTTATGTTATAACCTGTACACATACTCTATATAACGTCTGAGAAGAGGTCTGCAAATTATAAAACAAAGTGATAGTCAATTGTAAATTTCATATTTAATGACAGGATTGGATTTTTGCCACATCCATTTTCATTCAAACATTGCTACATGCGCCATTTTTCTTTGTACAGTACTACCAAGTGTTAGATCACTTCAATCGTGTGGACACTTTGCCATTTGAACACCTGGTCAGTTGGCAACTTTGATTATTGGCTGATGACGGAAAGACCTACTTACAACCCCCCCTTTTTTTTTCTTCACGAAATTTCGACCTGTTTCCGACACACTTACGAACTGTATTTGACACACTTATTGTTGTTGATGTTGGTTTTTTGTGTGCACAATTTCGCCCTGGTTTTGACAGCCTTACGACCCAATGTTTCTGCACACTATCGATCTGTTGGTATCAACCGAAAGCATGACGTGAAACGTGTTCTTCTGATTCAGATAGTGTAAATAATTTGATGTGTTAAACTATTGTTAACAATGATCGTTAAACTATTACAACAATGAATATTTCGGTAGATGCACACGTCATCGTTGAATTATTTCAGGAAAACTTGGTTCTCATCTCTGATCTTTCCATAAATAACTTTTTTTCCCCCTCTTGATTACAATTTTTTTTTTTTTTTTTTTTTTTCCTTTTTTTTTTTTTCGCATATGGGGACAACTTTTGAGCCCAGTGTAATTCGATTCGTTCATCCGATTCTTTAAAATCGATGTGTGCGCGCGCATCTTTCCAAGCGCTTCCGCCTGAAAACCAAAAACACCCAAATCAAAGCCAAATCTAATGGACATATTTCAGGTGAATAAAACACATCCACTTTAAATTTAATATACGTTTAGAAGGACAAGCAAAACAACGACCAAGAATAAAATTTAAGACTTTATTTGGGGGCCTTTTTTTTTCCTCGTCAAATTAACAAAAAGCCAAAAAAAAAAAAAATCTAGGAATTTTTCTTTAAAAAAAAAGTTAAGATGGAACAGTGACGTCATCAACGTCTCACGTTATCAACGACTGATGAGTGAGGGAGAGTTAGACTCCTGATCCTTTGCGTGGTAGAGTCCTAGACGCGTGGAGTAGTGGAGGAAGCACCCTAGCGAGTCGTCGACGGCGCGATGACTTTAGG